AACTCCTAGTATCGCCCTTAATATCCCTTATAGTAGTCCCCTATATAATCCCCTATACAACCCCCTTGGAGTTTAGACTATAGTTCATATGGTGTAGTAGCTATGTGAGTTTCCTGGAAGTCTCATGAGGCTTTTTTACCCTCCCCAATGGAATCCCACATGAGCCACAGCCGATATTTCCCACATCATGATCATGGACATGGGTCCATGGGTCCTTAATGGGGACCATATTACAACACTTGAGGGAACCCATATATTCTTGATGGTCTCCTGGTAACCCGAAGGTTGACGTGGCCCCGATCTGTAAGGACAGTAGTCTGCACACGATCCCAACCCTAAACCCCAGGGTCCAAAACCCTAAAACCGTGAACTCTAAACCCCCAAACCCTAAATCTCGAAACCCTAAGCCCTAAACTAAGGTTTCATGTTAGTTTAGGAGATGGAGTAAGCAGCGAACTGGGTTTAGGGTCTTGGGTTGCCGCATCGAAGCTGTTCAGGGTTTAGGGTACTAGTTTGCCCCTGTTGACTGCTATCAGACATGCAAGTATCAGAGGCGGATGTTGTGAGGAGATTCGCATAGTATGCTATAGTATAGTATACAATTTGAAGCCCTCTCGTATTCGCATCGGGGACTTTGCTGCGTCCTAGGTGGTCACTGCACAGAAACCCTAAACCCTTAAACCCTAAAAACTGAACCCCTGAACCTTAAACCCCTAAACCCCTAAACCGAAACCCAGAAGTTCTGTGGAAGCTCGTGCCAAGGCTCCCCAGGGGGTTTAGGGTTCATAGTCCCCCTTAAGTAGAATATGGGGCAAATTATTGGGGTTATATAGGGATAATGGAAAAGAAAATGGAAACTACTATAGTACAATAGGGTATATATTGGGGTTATAATCCCCCTAAAGTAGATAGAATATGGCTTTGGGCATATTATAATAAGATCCTCATATACTCCATACTATAAAAAGGTTTAGCGCTGTACCAACCACAGTACGCCAGAAAGGACTCAACCCTGGAGAGAAAATCTGTCAATATACCCGGCCAGCGTAAAAATGTTTAGGGTTGAGGGTTTAGGATCGGACAGAATCTAAGTGCATATGGGAACATCTTGTAGGCAGTCCTAAGCTCCAAGCAATGCTCGTAATATTCATCAAAGTCCAACACCCAAAGTCTACGCTCGATACCCAAAGGACAGAGCTCTACACCACGAAGCCCTTAAATCCTTAACCCTAACACACCACATACTGAACCGTAAACCCTACAGCCTAAAACGAACCCTAAACACTCCCTTCAGATCCTCATCGGTAAGAATGATAATACAAGGACTTGACAAGTTCAATCTTCAGCACAGTCAACTGCATCTCTTGGCCAACCCTACATTTCGAAGCAAAAAGTGTCACAACAGCTAGTCTGAGTTACGTGGACCCCCCCACCTAGTAATAGTGCCTATATTGGATAATGGCAATTGTATGTTAGGGTCCTCTTATACTCTTATAACACAATTCAAGGGCGGGGGCTCCACCTAAAGTCTGAGACTCTGGCCTGTATTGCTTTGCAACGGGCCACTCTCCACTGTATTGACATCGGCAATGGTCGGGACCCTCCTCAGCAAAGGTGGACGCATGAGAACGTTTTGGGGGATCCCTTAAAAAGGGCTTAGGGCTTAGGATAAGTGATGTGTAAGATTTAGGCTGGAGAGCAGTGGAGAAGGAACCAGACATGGCAAATCAAAACAGAAACTGCTTCAATTCGGGGCCTAGCCCCTACACCCAAACCCTAAACCATGCTTGTGGACCCGAGGTTGCTTTCTTCGAGATGTCTGTGGGCCCTCTTGGAGGTCGGCTGCGGTTAGGGATTAATGTATTGGGGCAGGGAATTCGGGTTACAGCAGCCCCTACTTGCCAAGACTTGCAAAGTCCCCCGAAACGAAAATTTCCAAGATATAGTGACACCATATCGTGAAGGCTTATCGGGGGCTTGGGGAGCTTTGCTATAAAACACTTGGTGACGCCAAGCCCTGTAATCACATCTCTGAATCAGTCATATGATAGTCATAGCGCCCCAGTGGGTCACCACACTCCGAAGTATCAGGGCAGTCAGCTTTTCGTGTCTTGGGAGTCTTGTTATGGTTTAGGGTTTATGGTCAGGAGTAAGCATACATCTGATCCCCCCTCAGCCGTAGCCATGTAATGACCCTGCTGTCCCCACTATCCACCTACTTAGTTGTTGTCCTCCCCTGACACTCCCAGTAGGGTTGTCAGATGTAGGCTTGAGGCTTTTAGCGTTTAGGGGTTAGGGTTTATTTGGCAAGCCTTGCGGTTCTGGGATCATGGTGCAGCAATCTTCACAAAGAGACCCTTTTCAGATTTGTTTCGGGCAGTGTCAACGGAGTTTCAAGAGTCTGTTTGCAGACGCCGTTTAATGCGTTCCAGCTTCCAGTCGAGTCGAAGCCTGTTCTGTCACAGGCCCTTTGACTGAATCCCCTGAGAACCCTTGCCTTTTGGCCGCCCCCAATTGTTCTTTCAGGGGCAGGGGCGCCTCCTACTCCATAGTCCCCCTCAGGTAGGTAGAATCTGGCTTTGGGTATATTAAATTAAGACCATATCCCATATTCTATCTACTTAAGGGGGACCCTAAACCGTGAACTCCAAGACACACAACAGTGTGCCTCATGATTTGCTCGAAGCTCAGGCCATAGACCCTGGGGCTTAGGGGTTTACTGGTTCAGTATTTAGGGGTTTGGGGTTTGGGGGTTTAGAATGTAAGGGCTTAGGGTGTAGGGGCTTAGGGCTTAGGGTTTAAAAGTTTAGGGTTTAAGGGTGTAGGGCTTTGGGGTTTTGAGCCCCACTCCGTGCAAAACGTGTAAGGACTTCAAATCAAGAATGGTTGCTTGGCATCGGCTCAGGAACTCAACGCAGGGGCCTAAAGACAATTCCAGTTATGTAATGCTTGTGATGGGGGGCGAATATCACAATCCTATCCATCCACTTTGGGTTACTATATTTTCTCGGAGCATCACTGGGAAACGACTATTCCACAACAGGCTACCCTCCTCCCAACAAACATGGAAACCCCAAAAGGGGCCGACAAAGACAAGGAGGCTTTTGCAGCGGTTGGGGTGTCTTGCTGTAAGTTTCAAGGGAGAGCTCGGCAATTGAACGTGCTCCGCACCCCCTAAGTAAAGCCCACTAAACCCTGCTTGCAGGTCATGACCAATGATACATGTACTTATATCCCTTCTAAGCCCTGAATCTCCTAAAATGACAATGTATGGCCATGATTGGGCCATAGGTACTGATCATACTTTCTTATGACGTCATGTTGCGACTTCCCCTAAACCACTCAAACCTGAAATCCTAAGAATATACTCGCGCTATGGCTCCCAAGCCCAAAGCCCAACACCCGAACCCCAAATCCTAATTCCTAAATCCTGAATCCTCAACGCTAAACCCCTTGTGTCCCCAAACTCTAAATCCCAAACCATAAACCCTAAACTCTCAGTCCAACTTGAAAGCTTCTTCTGAGAGCCCTGCAGCGCAGTTTTCCAAAACAAGAATATCACACCACTAGCGGTTGCGACGTACCTGGCATGCACACGAGGTCGACCCTAACCCCAAGGCTTAGGGTTAGGGTCTAAGCCTTAAACCATAAACCTTAAACCGGTTGTGTTCCGGAAAGAGCTTGCTTGCTAGCTTGCTCAAGCCTAATGTAAAGGCCTAAATGGGGATCAGGGCTTGTTTAAAGTTATATAGGGGTTGTATCGAGATTGTGGAGGATGTTTGGAGTTTATGGTTTAGGGCTGTTACACCCAAGAGTGGAAATCAAATGTAAAAGAAACTGGAACATCAAATGAAAACCTGGGGTCATAATTAATCGGGGTCATTTTCAATAATATTGTGGACCTGAATTCCTGGGGTACTTCAAATGGACCTCAACATGATCTTGGCATTTATTTAGGCCTTTACATCAATACTCTCCCCTTAACATTAAACCCCCCCACCCTGCTAGTATTAAATATTGCTAACATATTAATATACCACTGTGGGAGTATTTAATATCAGGAGTGGGGGGGTGGGGAGGCTTAAATATTGCGGGGATGGATTATTCAGAGCGAGCTTGTCAGTGCAAGGCCAGGAGTAGCGGAAAGCAGCGATCTTGACCGTGGTGATGAGAGCTGGGATTGCAGCAGTACCAGAAATAGTTGTCACTTTTTGGCGTGGCCCACACAAGTGGAGTCCTTTTTTGTGAGCTTGCAGCACGAGGGGTACAGCGTCTATCCGGGGTGCTTGACTGTCATGTTACACTCGCGATTCTACTTTTTCCCCCAGCGTGCTTCAAAGCATGAGCCAGGATTCAGAACCGTCCGGAGGAGCAGCACGTCTACGTGGGGCTTAAAGGAAACTTCGAAAAGCGAGGCTCAACCAGGCCACGTGGAACAAGGATTCAGAGCCTTCCGGAGGAGCAGCACGTCTACGTGGGGATTGAAGGAAACTTCGAAAGGCAAGGCTCAACCAAGCCACATGGAACAAGAATTCGGAAACATCCGGAGGAGCAGCACGTCTACGTGGGGATTAAAGGAAACTTCGAAAGGTCAGGGAGGCTTGGGATATTCGGGTATATGTAGGGTTTAGGGCTTAAGGTTACGATCTAGGGCATACAGTTTGAAGCATAGGTTCTAAGGTCTAGCGGGGAGAAGGTTAGCTCGTTCAAGTGTCGAGATTACATTGTTTAAGGTTCAAGGGGCTTAAGATTTACGACTTGTCAGACGTTGGCAGACTCTAGTGGTTCTCTTGGGCATGTAGGGTTGGGCGGTAGTGGCTTCAGGTTTGATGCGGGACGCCATGGGTTGAATAATCGTAGTGCAGAGTAGACGGGGTACAGTCCCATAGCTTTCCCTATCCACGAAACCAAATGTTTTAAGGCTGCTGGCTGAATCACGCAACTTGAACCAAAAACTCCCGCAGGGCAAAAGCAACTTTCGATTTTTACCATTGCACTCACTGAAACACGACCTGCTGTTAAAAAAGGTAGCCACTTCTTGCTCTAGACAGGCTGTGCGAATGCCTCCAGGTCCTCTTCGGGACCGTTGAGTCCATGCCCTTCGCGGTCATCAAGACGCTCGAGCACGATTCCCATGGCCTGGCAGCGCAGCAATCTAGAGGCGCCGCCATGCACAATCAGATACGATGCCTCCTTAGCTACCTGCGGAGGCACAGTCTGCATCACCACGATCTGACGCAATCGATATACGAGCAAACTATGCGATTTACCGGCTTCACCAACAACTGAGGCGGCATCGTCCAGAGCAGGTGGGCTCAGCGGCCCCTGCTCCAACGCCTGAGAGTAGGCGAGGAGATCCTCCTCCTCTTCCTCCACCCATGTAGCCCAGTCCTCTTTCGCAGCTTGATGTGCACCAGCCCTCCGACTCCAACGAATAGCTCATGGCGGCAGTAGTGCAGGCTGCAGTTCGGAAGCCTTGCTTGTTCAAAACGATTTATTCCCTGCTCACCTTCCGCCTTTTTTGCTCAGGCGCCTGACACATGTTAAGCAGGTGCTTTTAATTTGCATCTTATAGCGCTCACGCACTTGTCATCCACGGGCAATTGTCTCTCGTGCGCTGTCAAAATCAAGGCACGGCTCTTGTTGGGAATCCAATGTTGCATTTGTGTGAATAAGGTCCCGTGGTGGTATGTAGAACTTCAGTGCGTTCAAGGTCCTGAATTGAGCTCCACCTGCAACACTGCATCTGCCTTGCCGTGAGTTATACAATGAGCAAAAGGAGATGCGCAACCACCGATGCAGTCAGGAATCTGGGCCGCTGCTTTGTGTTCTGATGCCAGAGTCTGCATGAGACCATTCCTGGGCTGCTGTAAATCAACTTAACTCAAGTTACCGTAATATGGGTATATAGTAGATAATAGGGCTTCGTTATTACAGAAACCTAACTTAAGTTCGTTTACAACGACCCAGATTCAGCGCCTCGAAGCCCAAGGTGTGGAATGCAGGCTGAAGGCCAAGGGTAAAACTGATCAGCTAAAGGCTGCACAGCTCGTCTGTGACAATAAAATCGACCCAGTTCTGCTTACATAATGAAAGAAGCAGATCATACGAGAGACTCAGTGTGAAGCATGAGATGGCTGAAAAGTCGCCGCAAGGATGACAGCCGAGCTCTGCTGGCAGCGCATTTCTGTCAACGGTGCATGTTGCAGGGTTGTTTCAAGACCCACCCGAAACTTGGCATCATCAGCGCCCCCTTCGCAAACCTGCCTCTGTTGGCCTGAGTGCAACCCTGATCTCCTGAGCAGAAGCACCAGGGAACACTCAGGCCTGTCGAGTTGCACGGGCCTTCTTGAACCCTGAGAGGAGCCCTATCTCCTGGCCCCATGACTCACCTGAGAGCATCATGCACTGCCGTGTGTACTGGACAGGGAATTGCTGCCGCTGACAAAGCCAGCACCAGCTGAAACATTAGCAGGAGCCTCCACGGGCGCAGGCGTTCTGCCATTTTGCATGAAGGACTGCCAACCCAGGGGACAACTAAAAAGGTTGATGTAAAGCCTTTACATCAACCTGTTCAGTTGTCCGCCATATCAATACAATGGCAATCATCATAACTATAGAAAATACAAGGAATGGGAGTAATACTAATAGTAATACGAATACTAACACTCATGGTAATACTGACAGTAATAGTAACTAATAGTTGGTATTTTGTAATCGGTAATTAGTACCTAGTAAATATTTAATTCATAGTAAATAGTAAAAATGATGGTCAAAGAGAAAGAAGGAATAGTGCCATCAAACATAGTAAGAGGACAGGCTTCAACTTGGGCATTAAGCACAGCAAAGGAACTCAGACAAGCAAGGGGCCTGCTTCTCACTTTAAACCACTCCTTGTGTCGTCGCACCCCTCCACGGGAATTTAGACGACACCCTATAACGATGAGTGCAAGGCCTTGGGCTTTTCAGAAAGCCGTTCTTACAGGCAAAATGGTGTGACGCATGTAACGGGCTTGTTGCTACGGAACTTTTAATGAAATTGACGATAAGAAGAGTATATAGCATGTAGGGTTCAGGGTTGCTATAATAAGGAAACCCTACTATTCAACGTAATTTAATTAAGTTCATTAACAGAAACCCAGTAAACCAAGTCAACCTGTTTGTAAATTTCTGCGCAATACCCTCACCCAACCCCAAAGCCTCGGCCAGTGGACGTAGGGCTTACTTGGAGGGTCGAGGGGACCTGAAAAGTAGGCTAATAATGGGGATAGGTCGGGATAAGTATGGTTCCTATATGGGCTACAAAGGCTACTAACCGACTTAGTTCCCCTGACCCTCCAAGTTGTTGACAACACGTTCTCAGCTCTGCTTGGGGCTCCTCTGTTGCTGGTCGAGTTCTGGTATTCATACCACGCCTGAAAGTGCATGCTCAAAATGCTGTGATTTGCATCGCTATTTGTCACAATTCTCTCGAATCAGATCAAGCGGCCGTGCGCGAGAGCCAAACGGTTTAGGGTCGATACTGCGAGGTGCAGCATGGATAGAGAACACCTACAATAGCGTTCTCATGATTATTTGCGCTTGATACGCAAACACGCTCTGAAAGGCTAAGCTCAAAAAGTAGGGGCCCGACTTTAGTAGAATCGTTTTTTGAGAAATTTGTCTTTGCACTTTGAGGGGACTGCAGGGAATCCTTTTGGTAAACATTTAGGCTTCTGCAGCTGCCGTGCCAAATGTTTGCTTCTTTTTCGTCGGCATGTCACAGCACCAGGGAGATTAAGGGGTGTAGGGTTTAGGGTGTAGGTTGTACATAGATTTTGGGCTGGGATTTGTACCCTGCCCAAACTAAAATCCAATCTCAGAAGGGGCCGTTTGTGAACTTGAACCCTTAACCGTAACCCTAATGTCAATGACGCTTTATAAGCCTTGGTCCAGCTGAATAGGACGGACTAGATCACGGTTTAGGATCTAGGGTTTAGGGTTTAAGGACAAGATCAGAGACATTTCCCCGTATGCCGCACCAGAACTTGCATCCCTCTGGTAGTAAGCATTGGGAAATGTCCTCACCTAAGTAGCTTTTTTTTGGTGGTTGAACCTAGTAAGATTATATTCCTTACATAAAAATACTATACCCCTAAGGGAGGATAGAATCTTACTCTATGATGGATACCATAGTATCCCCAAATACTACTCACTTGATAACGTTACAAGCTTGCGGGATCTCATTCGCGGACTCTCCAGTGCCAAGATGACTGTAGTCCCCCTTAAGTCGATAGAATATGGCCTTGGGTATATTAAAATCAGATTCCCATATGCCCCATATTCTATCTACTTAAGGGGGACTATATAGTAGGAAGACCATCTCTTGCCATCTGTGGGGCGTCCAATATTAGAGGCGCTGCTTTGGGAGCCCCGAAAATAGACCCTAAACCACCCCTATGCTGTCATGCAACGCAGGCCAGCCAGACAAGCATGACACGCAGGAAAGCACGAAAGTGCCCAAAACGCTGGTATGGATCGTATAGTGAGCCTGCGCAGATTAGCTTGTAGAATCCAGGTTTCATTTGACTTCGTGTCATGTGAGCTTACCATAACTAGGTAGGCATACTACAAAATAAGAGTGTCATTCACAATGGTATTTACAGGGGGACAACACGACATGCTGTGATGATAAACTGGGTTTTCCCTACCTAGCCCTCATTCCTAGGAACCCTTGTATACACCAAGTTTCCATCTCACTTTTCATTTCTCCCATTTGATTTTCCATTATTGGGGTCATATCCACTAAAACCTGAACCCTAAAGTCTAAACCCAAATCTTAAACCAAGAGCCATGACTTGTCTTTTGACAAGACATTCCTGAGGTGATCCTCTTCATCCTGGTCAGCAAATGAGAATTTCCAAGAATTACAGGCCCCTTTGTGGGTTCTCTACGTTAAGGATCAAACTACATTTGGGGGGGTCTCTAATTACGGGGACCCAGATTGATCTTGGAAATGCCCAGATGTGTAGACTTGACATGAGATGAATCTCACCGCAATGGGGTTCCATAAGCACATGAAGCATATTTATTGTGCCTCTTAGCCCCTGATAATACCTTCGCACCAACCATCTTCATCAACAGGAGATTTGGGTTACCACGGTCGTGGGGTCCTTATCCTACAATTACCCCAGTGTAATCTTGTAACATGCATGTACTATGCCTTACTATGCCCATGCCCACCTATGATGGTATGTTCCCTTTTTGTCTGGACTGACAGATTCCACGTCTGCATCGAAACGTCAGCTCGCAAAGCTACTACTCGGCGGGTCAGAGAGTAGTTTAGTTAGGGTTCAGGGTTAAGGGTCTAGAGCGTTTAGTAGGTAGCTTAACTAAGGCGATGACTGGGGGCTCTTATATGGCTGACAGACGACATAAGTGTGCTTACTAAATCTCCCAACTCTTCAAACAATCTCTCCCAGAGCCTTTTCAGGCTCTGCCGCATGCTAGATGACTTCCTCGCGCTGTACTGTATCTTTTGCTAATATCGTGCCGGCACAGCTATGCATTCCAGCATGAACTTCGAACGTGATTTGAATAGGCTCCTTCTCCAAAACTGCGTACAGCTGTTATGCCCTGCAAACTTATCCCCAAATCGTACATTTAATCTGCCTAGCTTGTACAAATCCAGGCAATCCGAATAGACCACATACGCGCCACATACAGTACATTCGCCCTATAAAACTTTACCAGGCAACACCTCAATCCCAAGCCCGATTTCTGTAGTCCGCTTAGACCGGTTTAGGTTTAGTTCACCATCGGAAGGCCTGATGTAGCCAGGTCAACCAGGGATGAATAGCAACCTCAGGGTTTATGGGGTTTAGGGTTTAGGGCCCCCGTAAGTAGTCAGGAATATGGGGTATATGGGGATCTTTTTAGGATATTAGGCATTTCGATCAGCTACTTCAAGGGGGCTATCCATCTTTGAGCATTGCTTGCATTCTTAGCAGTTTGCAAATGCTTGCATTGTCACGAGTATTGTTGCTATCCAATTGAGGTTCCCAGGAAGAGAAATTGGGCTGTTGTACCAGAAGCCCAAGCCTATGCCTACTAACCTTAAACTTACTGCTCTGGCTGCTAGAGAAATGCAGGTGTTCCAAGATTGTGGTCCCAATGTTGAGTTCCTGGATTGTGGGAATTTCGAGATCTGAATTAATACAGACGGTGTATAAGTGTCACTTTCAAGAGCGATTTTATAGCCCCCCAACACTGACCATGGTAGTTTCTTAGAATAATCGCGCCGTTCTTACTTGGCAAAACCACCAAACACCCCACCCCAACCTGGGAACTCTGATCCCTTCAATGTTGGCACTTAAGTGAGTGGAAATTTTGCAACATAGGGTTTCCCCCTCCAGACATAGTTATTTCAATGAGCAACATGAGTCATAACAACTTCTTAGTAAGACCCCTTTGTCAACAGTCTCTGTGAGGAGGAACGACGTAATCTAAATTGCAAGCCGTAAACCCGAAACCCTAAACCTGAAACCCCAAACCCTAAACCCTATAAATCCGAAACCCAACACGTCAGATCTTCAGCTCTGCAACGAGAGCCGCCCAGCGCTGCGGTTGAAAGGCCCGCAACGAAACCTGGCGTTTCGGTAAATACCTAGACCCTCCAATGTAGTTATGGATAATGGAAAAGAAAATGGAAACTACTATCTAGGGTTTAGGATTGAGGGTTTGGCATAGTTTTTTGGTTAGGACTGTTCTTGGGACAACCCAAAAGGTATTGCTTTGGAGGATCTAGGTAAGGGCTTAGGGGGTTAGGCTTTGAGGTCTGGGGTCTTGGGGCAGGTGGGTTTAGGATTCAAGTTTTGTGATTTCCCGGTATAGATCCCAAACTACTATACTGCAGTTTCCTTAGACCTATAGTAGAAATACTATTTTTAAATATTTCCTCAGGGTTATACTATAACAGAAATTAGAAATAATTCCTAAGGACAGTGCAGTAGAGCCCTCATTATCAGGACCCCGAAAAGTGGACAGCCCCACCAGGAGTTGAAGGATTAGGGAGGCAGAGTGTACGGACTAGTACGGGTCGAGCAGGGTTGATTGAGCCTTACTCATCTCTGGTTAGTCAGGAATCGTTTGGGATTACTACATAGGCACTCTTCTGGAGATTGTATGGCGGTCACTTTGGGATCCACTCCTTCATTCCCTGTCAGCAAGACACGAATACTTGTTTTGGGGGATTATGGTTAAGGCTGCATACCAGGTAGTCTTGAGGAGCTTTGCATAGTGAAGCTGCAGGGAGTATGCCCGGAGCCGTACTCTCCTCCAAAACTGACATGAAACACCGTGTTTTAGACGGCTTTGAACGTTTGGGGAGGAAGGCTTTGGTTTTTCAGGCCTTGGATGAATGCTAGGGATTGGAACCCCTTGCCTAAAACTGCCTTGTCACAATTTGGGCCTGAGGCTTCCCTAAATCCTACGCAAACCCTTGAGGGTCGAAGGGGCTGAGGATGACTTGATATCCTTCTTGGCCATATGTGGTATAGTCTAAGCTTCTGAAATGGGATTCCTTAGGGATTATATAGGGTTTAGGGTTTAGGGTCTACACTCCTTAAAGTGGGGGTTATCTGGGGGATTCTATAGGGGAGGGATATAGGGGTTGTTACGGAGGATACTAGGAGTTTGAACTATAGCTCCTATGCTGTCTCCACTAACATCACATGGATGGTTCTTCTGAAAATGATGGGCGTGTTTTGTAGCAACCTGCCTGTGCGAGATCTAGAAGTGGGGGAAGGGGCACAAGAATAGTTAGAAACTATCGTCGGAGCCTGAATAACTGAAATGGGGTCTGGGGGTAGATTATACCATACCTGCATCAAAGTTGGAAGGGAAATCTCTTGGGGGTAAATCAAGCTTCTGCATTCCCTATATCAGGGAAGCTTTGCCTGCTGCTAGCATAGAGTTCGCCATCCTCATCCCACCATTGTCTTATACCTCAGTCACAAAACCTGAGACCCCAAGCCCCAAGCTGTGTTGCTGTTAAGGAGTGTACATTATGTTACTATATTAAGGACACCCCCTTATTTACTGTGTACCGAGAATAGGGTAACTTACCTTCCCTAACAGCAATCCAGTAAACTTAGGTCCCATTAACGAATCCTCTTTGCCTCAACATACTGACACCCATATCCACACAAGGTATAGGTGGATCCCTAATGTCGATCCAGCAAACTGTGAACCCAAAGTCCTAAAAGGCGAAGGCACCTGTTTAATCCCAGTCCTCATTTGGTACTTTCCCAAAATAGGGGGACCCCAATATAGACCCCAAAATACTATAATCCTTGTTATTGGGACCCCTAAAATGATACCCCTAATTTTGGGAAACCCCCATTTCCTTTCCAGTTTTCTTTACCATGCGAGAGTCCATTACCCTAAACGCCAGGACCCTAACCTCCAAATGCCCCTGAACTTTGAAATTAGGCCATTGGGCGATCTGGGCCCAAACAGCTTACGTCATGGAGGCAGCACGTACTTACTTTTGTTCAAAGGGGCAGAGGGTGGGGGAAAGCCCCCCTGACCGTTCCTGGGCTTAAACGAGAATCTTAATCACTAATATGGGACTTTAGCTGCTAGAGTACGGTTTCTGTTTGTGGTGTGTGGCCACAAGAGACATTAGGAAACAGTATCAATCCTTATCTCGGCTCTTCGCTTACATCCTAAGTCTCCAGATTTTAAGAGCCCCACCATTGACCCTCTCTTTAGAAGGCCGAATAAATACTTAGGAGACGGTCCCCTGCACGAAAATGTACCTATAGCTTATTTGGGTCGATCCCCCACCCAGTAATGAGTATCATGAGGGACTATGGTAGGTATATCAAGGCCCTATTAACTCCTTATTAAGGAGCCAATACTATAGGGGGATTCACCTAAGCTTAACACAAGTACCGGCCGAAAATGCTGCTCCCCTATTTCGGCTCCTCCACTGTAAGCTGTATGTTTGGAGTCACCATTCTTCCGCCCCCACAGCTTTGGCCATGAAAGCCCCAAAACCCTAAATAGTACAACAGTTTTCACGTTCATTTCCATTCCCCTATATACCACAATATAACCCCTAAACACATATTCTTAGGGGATGGGACTCGACCCTAGACCCTAAACCCTAAATCCTAAACCCTAAATCCTAAATCCTAAATCCTAAACCCTGACCCCTAGATCCTAAATCCTAAATCCTAAACGCTAAACCCTACACCCTACTCTTCCCGAAGCGAGGCGGGAAAGCCAAATAAAAAAGCATTGCGAAAAAACCGAAGATGTGGAAGTATCGCCACCTGAAAGATTTCGGATTTGGAAGTCAGGGTTCAGAAATTTAGGGTTTAGGATTTAGTAGGGATTAAGGTTTTCCTAAAGTTACGCCCCCCCCTTATTTGCCCGCGCCAAATGCGCGCTCATCAGAGTGTGCTGTGTATTGCAGTGTTTTGGTGGTTGTGGATGTAGTTGAAGTGAACGTTATTATGGGTGCCGGCATGGATTCATTTGTTGTGGATGCAGTCGAAGTGAACGTTGTTATGGGTG